TGTGTGTGTGTGTGTGTGTGTGTGTGTGTGTGTGTGTGTGTGTGTGTTCAGGTACCTGTGGTGTCCAGAAGATGACACTGGAACCACTAGAGCTGGAATGACAGGCAGCTTTATGGCAAGGATTGTAGGAACTGAATTTGAGTCTCTTGGATGAGTAGCATGTACTCTTAAACACTGAGTCATCATCTCTTCAGTTCTATGGCTTCATTTTTTTGAACCATATGTCACGGTGGTATTATGCATCTGGTCTATAAGGCTACTTTCAATGATGGGGGAACAGTGTGAATTAACTAAGAGAGAGACAGTAGCTCCTGCTTGCCAATTCTTACCTCCAGAATCTTCAGTGGGCCTTCCCTGTCCTCAGGTAGAGTATGTGTGCCTATAACCTATTTCTATCTATGCACACAAACAATCTGCTTGCACCATTGCCCAAGGTTTTTTCCACAGGGAAATTCTTTACATTTTTCTCAGCTGTCTGATCATCGTGGCAAGTATTTTCATTCTTTGTTTCTGTCAGCTGGCTCTATAGCACAGCCCCATCCCTGATTTTACACAGTTCTGTGCTTCTTGCTAGGGTGATAAATGGCAAGTAAATTCACATCACTGTTAACGTATACATTATTGATTTTCAGTAAGACTATGCCTTTTCAACATGGTTTTTATACATTTTGAGAATGTTTTTATTTTTTTTCCTGGATATGCCTTTCAATAACTTGCTCATTTTTCTTTTTGTGTGGTACTTTCCATCATGATTTAAGTCTTTCAGGCTTTTTCCAAAGTTTCTAAACAATGCCTTCTGAAATAGCACACTGTGAATAACATTTGCTATTCTGTGACTCATCAATTAATTTTTCCCATTCTGCCCAAAATGAAGAAAATTTATGTCTTACTTTCATTTCTTCTACTTAGATGAATACCGTGAAAGAAGAATATTTGACTCATAATTCTTGGTTATTGTCTTTCATTTGGGTAGGTCAAGGAAAGAACTTAAAGCATCACACCCTGTATACATGTAATAATATATAATTATCATATTAAGACACTACATAAACTGACCCTAGAAACATTGCAAATGTGGCTGTTGTGTCATATATGTGTCAGGAAGTGGCAGAGAGAAGGGATGCTATGTCTACTTCAATATTCTGACCTTTGAACATTTCATTTATTTGGAGTAGTCTTACATTCTCTGAAGAGAAGAAAGCCTGATATGACCAAGAGTCTGGATCCAGGGGCCTGGACAGGGAGATAACCTGATACAACAACTAGTCTGCTGCCACACAGGTCTGGACAGAATCCCAGTGCAGGGTATGAAGCTGAGACTAGAAGGTCATAGAATATATATCAGTAGTATACCTGTAGGAATGAGCCCAAGAAAAATTACCTTTGCATAAGAACACATGGACAGTATTGATAAAGAAAGAACCTGAGATGGCCACCAGTCCTCTGTTTTGCAGGGCTAGGAAAGCAGACCAAGCCTGAGCTCACCACTGCCTGGTACCATAATGTACTAGCAAAGCATAGCACTCCTGAGATAACCCCAGACACTGGAGACCCAGGTGACACAAAGAGGAAAATCTAAGTGGTGGAGACATGGAAGAGAATGAGATGCAGATGTACATGGGCACATTGAAGAGCTGTTCAACAGGAGACTTGAAGGTTATGAGGAACAACATGATGTAAGTAGCCAGTGATATAACCTGGGATTGTGGTGGAGTCCCAACCTGTGCGGCCAGTGGGGGACACATCTGGGTCTGAGGTCTTACAGCAACAGTGATCTGTTACAACCAAAGACCAAGTAGAGATTCCTTGTCTGGGCTGATGCCTGGATGCAAGTTGATATCTGAGAAATGTAAAGAACTAATCCCAATCCCCAAGCTGATATGGGCAAAAGAGAAATGATTCCTCTCCTTGTCTCTTACCACCTATGGTAGGAAGGAAAGCTGGCCTCTAGGTCATCAGACCAGGAAAGTTGAGCCTGATCCTCACCTACTGAGGAAGCTAGGAGAGTGGGCCCCTTCCCTCACCTGGGCATCATAGTAGAGCTGACCCAGGATGGTTGCAGTTGAAGTGATTCCCAGGTTGTGAACATGGGTGAGCTAGCCATCTCTCTTATATGTTTTTCAGTGGCATTAGCAAGGGAGAGATGCCCTCCTTCCCTCCCACAGCTTTTCTCATCTATGGCAGGTGGCTACAGTGATGTCCCTGGGATCATGAGAGTGTGAAAACTAGCCATGATGCTTACTTGATGCAATATTCAGGTACTCAGGAGAACAGGCCTTGAACCGGTGCTGAGCTGGCCCTGTTGGAGAAGTTACCAGTGAACTGGACATAAGAATGTAAGAGCAGGAGAGCCAGAGGGTGGTGATGAAGACTGCAAGGGTGGAGAGCAGGTATGACTGGAGGTTAGTAGGATTGGGTATATGATGTGAAATTCACAACAAGTACATATAAAAATTAAAACAATTTAAATAAAACATGTTATAATAATATGATATTACATTATTAATGTGAAGTTATTAAGATGTAATAATCTAGTAATTATACACTAGAGAAAAATGAAAGTTTCTCAAAAGGATGCTGAATATTTCTTTAGGTGTTTCTTGGCCATTAGAGTTTCCTCAGTTGAGTACTCTTTATTAAGCTCTATACCCCATTTTTAATAGGGTTTTTTGGTTGACTGGAGTCTAATTTCTTGAGTTCTTTGTAAATATTAGATATTAGACCTCTATCAGATGTTGGATTGGTAAAGATCTTTTCTCAATCTGTTGGTTGCCATTTTGTCCTATTGACAGTGTCCTTTGCCTTACAGAAACTTTGCAATTTTATGATGTCCCATTTGTCAATTCTTGATCTTAGAGCATAAGCAATTGGTATTCTGTTCAGGAACTTTCCTCCTGTGCCCATGTATTCCAGGTTCTTCCCCATCTTCTCTTATATTAGTTTCAGTGTATCTAGTTTTATGTGGAGGGCCTTTATTGTGTGAGGTGCAATGTGTGCTTTGAGCTTTAGTAAACTTTCCTTTTTGTATGTGGGTGCCTTTGCATTTGGAGCATGGATGTTCAGAATTGAGAGTTCATCTTGGTAGATTTTTCCTTTGATGAGTATGAAGTGTCCTTCCTTATCTTTTTTTGATTACTTTTCTTTGAAAGTTGATTTTATTTGATGTTAGAATGGCTACTCCAGCTTGTATCTTGGGACCATTTGCTTGGAAATTGTTTTCCATCCTTTTACTCTGAGGTTGTGTCTGTCTTCGTCACTGAGGTGCATTTCCTGTAGGCAGCAAAATTCTGGGTCCTGTTTGTGTATCCAGTCTGACAGTCTGCTTCTTTTTACTGGAGAATTGAGGCCACTGATATTAAGAGATATTGAGGAAAAATGATTGTTGCTTCCTCTTATTTTTGTTATTAGAGGTAGAATTATATTTGTGTAGCTGTCTTCTTTGGGGTTGTTGGAAGATTACTTCCTTGCTTTTTCAAGGGTGTAGTTTCCTTCCTTGTGTTGGTGGTTTCCATCAATTTTCCTTTGAAGTGCTAGATATTGTGTATATTTGGTTTTGTCATGGAATATCATGGTTTCTCTCAATCTGTAGTGACTGAGAGTTTTCCTTGTTATAGTACACTGGGCTGGCATTTGTGTTCTCTTAGGGTCTGTATGATGGCAGTCCAGGCTCTTCTGGCTTTTATGGTCTCTGGTGAGAAGTCTGGTGTAATTCGTATAGTTCTGCATTTAAATTTTACATGACCTTCTTCCCTTACTGCTTTTAGCATTTTTTCTTTGTTTTATGTATTTGATGTTTTGATTATTATATGATGGGAAGTATTTCTTTTCTAGTCTAGTCTATATGGTGTTCTGTAGACTTCTTGTATTTTTATGGGCATCTTGTTCTTTAGGTTAGGGAAGTTTTCCTGCATAACTGTGTTGAAGATATTTACTGGCCCTTTAAGTTGGGAATCTTCACTCTTACCTATACCTATTATTCTTAGGTTTGGTCTTCTCATTGTGTTCTGGATTTTCTGGATGTTTTGGGTTAGGCGCTTTTTGTATTTTGCATTTTCTTTGACAGTTGTGTCAAAGTTTTTCATGATATCTTCTGCACATGAGATTCTCTCTTGTATCCTGTTGATGATGCTTGTGTCTATGATTCCTGATCTCTTTCCTAGGTTTTCTATCTCTAGGGTAGTCTCCCTTTGAGATTTCTTTATTATTTCTATTTCCATTTTTAGATCCCGGATGGTTTTGTTTAATTCCTTCACTGTGTTTTCTTGCAGTTCTTTAAGGGATTTTTGTGTTCCTCTTTAAGGGCTTTTACCTGTTTACCAGTATTCTCCTGAACTTCTTTATGGGAGTCGCTTATGTCCTTCTGAAAAATCTTAAAATCTTCTATCATCATCATGCAAAGTGATTTTAAATCGGAATCCTGCTTTTCTGGTGTGATGGGGTATCCAGGGCTTGCTATTGTCGGAGAACTGGATTCTGATGATGCCAAGTATCTTTGGTGTCTGTTGCTTATGTTCTTGCACTTGCCTTTTGCCATCTGGCTAACTCTAGTGTTAAGAAAAGGAGAACATGAATTTGAAAGAGGACAAAGAGAAACATGTTGGGAGTGTTTGGTGATAGGAACAGAAATTGGGAAATGATCTAATTTTATTATGATTTCAAAAACAAGAGAAATAATTAAAATAAAAAAGAGTAAAATAAAATGATCATTTCTCCCAACAAAAATTTAAAAATTCATATATTTTTCTATATATTTTTAAAGTTCACAACAAATATTAAGTCTTTTTTATTTTTTTTTCTATTCATAATTCCACATTGCCAACATGGGAGGGTTTTTTTTTATATAATTTACTCACTTTATATCCAAATTGTAGTCCCCTCCATCTTCTCCCAGTCACATCTTCCAACCCTCTTCCTCCACTTCCCCACTCATGGTGAATTTTTCTTCATTGTTCTCTCTATCTTCTTTGAAGTTAATTTTACCTTATGGATAAGTCAAGTATTCCGTTTTGGATCTTCCCAATTTGTTCCATGAACATGTCTTCCTAGGAATACCTACATTGATATTCTATCCATTGTCTCTAGACTGGTCCTATACTTAGCTAATCAAGAATCCCAGTGTAACACAGCAATGTAGACATACATACAGAAAGGGAAGAGGTAATGTGAAATGTGTTCATGCATGTGGAAAAAAAGATGAATGTTTTAGTTTAATTTTTTTGTCATTCTTATGTGCATCATGACCAAATTGACCAAAAACACCTTGTGAAAGGAGAGAGTCTAGTTTAGCTTATATTTTCAGGTCACAGTCAATTAATGAGGGAAGACAGGATAGGAGCTGAAGCAGAAACCATGAAATAATTCTGCTTACTGGCTTGTTACTGTTCATGCACAGTCTACTCCTTTATATAGCTTAGACTCATCTACCTAGGGATAGAGTTACCTACAATTGACTGGGCTCTATCACATCAATCCTCAGTCAAGACAATATCTCACAGACATGATGACAGGTCAATCTGATTGGAGTAATTCTTCTGATTATGTTCCTCTTCCCCCAATGACGCAAGGTTATGTCAAGTTGACAATAAAAATCACAAACACAATGGCTGGGCTGTGCATTCAATGTTTATAGTCCAGCATAAAAGAAGCCAGGTATTTGCATCAATCTTAAGCAGTATCAGGAAGAACTTAATAAAAGATGCAGTGGTTTTTGCCCTTCCCAGCCTTGAGCAGGCTGAATAAGACCTTGTTTATCACAATACACCTTGCCACAATAGGACATAGGTGGAGTCACTCACCTTGGCTGCACTGTACAACTTCTTACAGAAATTTAGAGGAGTAGACTGTCCACTGAGTTTGCCTTGTGACATAATCCAGCTGAAACAAAGAATGTGTTTGGTGGGCTTCCCCTATGTATACAAACAGTGCTGAATATCAAACTTTGAGCCTTGATCAGAGAACCTTGTCTTGGCCCCATATGTCTCTCATCCATCTATCTCTTTTACAATTCTAGCCCTCCTTTCAGGTGAATCCATTTCGTCTGTGGCCACAGGGCAGCTAAAGTGGTTCAAATGTCAGATCTAAAAGAGGGCACTATGTGCTCTAACTATGGTGAGTAATAGTATTCAGGAGTGCTGTGTACGTGCTGAGAAGTCAGGTAGAACAATATTGGAAATCTGTATCATTT